AACACTCGTAGTATATGCAACAAACATATGACTACACTAAGACACAAACTAGTAAGAAAAAGCAAAGAGTAAGAAAGAATGAAGAAAGAGAAGCAATACAAATTTTCCCAAAAATTGATCATACTTAATCATATCACAAGATTAAATCTATCGATATGCGTTTACAAAATCACAAAATATGATAAAAAGGTGAGAGTAAGAAAAAATGAAGGAAGAGGAAGAAAATAGGCAATTTTTTGTGGAATTAAAGATCTATCCAACTCAATCACAACTTTGTATTTAAATGATGGATATGTGTCCACAAAGTCACAAAACATGAATAAAACAAAGGGAGAGAGAATGAAACAAAAGAGGAGGAAAAATGTAAATTTTCCCAAAGTTGAATTTGGCCAACCTCAATCGCGGCAAATGATACAATATCAGTAATACAACCAAGCTCTTGGATGTGGCGACATACTTCACGAGCATTTCTTGCTTGTTATTCATTATTTTTAACATTCAATAGCACTGCAATATGTAATATTAGATTATCAAGCATTTCTTACTCGCTATTCACTATTTTCAACATTCGATAGCACTGGAACATGTAGTATTTAGACTATCAAGCATTTCTTGCTCGCTATTCACTATTTTCAACATTCAATAGTTCTTCAACATGTAGTATATAGACTATAAACTATTTTTTCCTCGCTATCGACTATTTTTAACATTCAATATCACTGCAACATAGTGGAACATATAATATTTAGACTATCAAAAGTACATGCAAACAATAAAATGTGTTTGCAAATGAAGTGTGCTAAAACGCCATTGACGTGTTACGTTTTCAACATCATGACAAGAAGTAGTATGAGGTGGTAGCCAATAATTTCTTCTCTTTGTAGAGTCTATCAACTTTGAAGATGATGCTATGGATGCTACTTATACTATTGCAGAGCAAAATGAAGCAATATACTTTGCATGCTCAAGATTCTTCCAAAGACAGTACAACCATTTTGAAAACGGGCTTCAATGTTAAATTGCAAGCTCAATCATCACTTTTTAATGTCATATCCTGCTACTTTGGTCTCTTGCTTCTTGGAGTTCTCCTCATCTTTTGAGCTATATCACGCCATTCCGAATCTTGTGATTCAAGCTTTAATTTACTGATATGAAAGTGTGAACATGTAATTATTTTGTCTCATCAAACTTTTGATGTCTAGCTTTTTTTATTTGTTTTTTTTTCAAACATAGTGAATTCAATTTTGCCACATGTTATGTGTAGAGATTTGAAGCTCAATATTATGGACAAGGATGTGAACTATTATCATGACATATGGACATGGACATGACTATTTTGTAAATTTAATCATTCTTAGATGATTCTTTCACCGTCAACAATCTTTCAACATTAACACTCTCATTGGAAGATGATAGCCGTTTGAAAAAGTATGATGGGCGATTTGGTTTAAAAAAGTTTGGAATAAATCCAAGAAGTGGTCCAAAGTATAAGATTGAAAAAACACTTTGACAACTTTGAGAATTTTGATAGGTGATTTCATTCTTAGAGTGTGATAGAATGTAGAACATACCATTGATTCAAGATTAAATTCAACTAACTTGTGTGCTTTCATTGATATGATTATGTTAGGTGAAAATTTTTGGTAAGAATTACAAAGTTTGTACCAATTGAGCTCAAAGGCGGTTACCGTAGCTTTTGTTACGCAAGTTGAGAATTTATCCACTACCAAGACTTATTTCACAAATTGCTTCCACTATTGGAATCATCAGTGTGCAAGCTATCAAAAAAATTAATAGAAGAATAAATCTCAACCAACCCGCAACAAACAACACAGAATCATTTTTGGATATATCACCAATATTGTTCATCAATCTAGCAAAAATGTATTTCATTCTTCAAGTTCATATGTGTAACATATTGCAAAGTGAATTCCAAGTAGCTTTGGACCGTGACGTGATGTTGTGATTGCAACAAAAAGAACTAACTATGTAATTGATCCTTGTAACAAATTTGATCAAGTGCTAGAATAGAGATCAAATTTCATAAGATCATGTCTTTTGCAAAAAAGACATTTGTGATCACTTTAATGAGTGGACAATACACAAGTTCATGACACAAGAGTAGATGATTAGGATTCTTACATGCTTTAGAATGACTTGGTGCGACATAAAGAAACAAGATTATGCACTTTCATCCGTTAACAAGATTTGCAATAAAATATAAGTGGAATACAAAGTATATGCAAATGTGACAAACAGACAACATGATGAAGCATTTTTACCTAGAAGTACAGCAAAAATCTTTTCACATGATTATTTCTTTGTAGTCAAGGATTTGAGAAAAAGATCTGAAAAATGTAGTCGATTGAACAACATACTTCAATTTTACATTTTTCAACATGCGTTTACATGCACTCCAAGAACATGTAATGTAATGCAATGCAATGAAATTCTACTAGCAGCATCTTTGTCTAAACACATGTACACAAAGAATTAAAAAATTTTCTTAAAATTTTTCATACATGACATAAGTATTCTTTTGATTTCCTATAGACAAAAAGGGCTTTTAGTGACAGAGAAGTACATGTCTTCAAAATTCATACATGGTCATTGTGACTTTTATCTAAAAAGCAACATTAAACGGACCAACAATAAGGCATGACTTCAAGTTACATATATGTTCATTTTGACTCTTATATAAAAAGCAACAATACATAAGTCAATAGTAAGGTATGTGAGAATTTTTATGTACCATGATATATGTCAAAATGAAGACACAATTTAAAAAAGTATTGAACTATTTTTCACAAAAGACAAAAGGAGAAGATGATAAGCAATATATTAGAAGATAAATGCGTCAGTATGGTCCCGACACACATTTTTACCACCACGACAAGTGAAAGTGATTTTTAACCCTGCCCAATAATCATATTCAAGCTTAAAAAAATACACATCCTTGAAGTTGATGGTTTCATATTGTGAAATTATATCTAGAGTAGATTCAATGCTCGGAGGTCAAAGTCTTATAGAAGAAATTTAATTTTGATCATTCTTGCAAATCTTTTTCACAATGTGAATCTCCAAAATTATGAGCAATGGCAGGTTGCTGAGATGATATATATATATATATATATATATATATATGACAAAAGTATTCATCATGGATGGCAAACAAAAATGCACTGTTGAGTTGTAACAAAAAATAACTTGTACTTGCGTTAAGACATAAAAATCACTGTAGCCATGCAAATACGTCATGATATGGGATGACAGTTACGTCACTGATTTCAATAGATGTTTCCATCACTATTGAAAAACTAAATTACTCTGTAGCATGTATGACCCAACAGTTCCATTTCTAATGAGTCTTCATCTAAATTCTAATGAGGATGATGCTACCCACTTGTTACTTCTGTGAAGAGGCCTCGGCAAAGAATTGTGAGAATAAAAAGTGATAAAGATATGTGCAATAAAAAACATTGAATATGACAAATTCTACATAGAGGGTGATCAAATGTTATAAAAGTTTTACATTTATGATGACATTGAGTTGTAACAGCATGTACATGGTGTTCGTAGAATACATGATTAAAACAGGCAAGTAAACGTCAAACAATAAGCAACCAACCTGCGGAGGCAAATGTCAAGTGTTTCAAATGTAAGCAATTAGTACACAATGTCTGTTAATGAGAAAGAAAGTGAACTACACATGATTAAAAAGGCAAGGAAACGTCAAACAATAAGCAACCAACCTGCTAAGGCAAATGGCAAGTGTTTCAAATGTAAGCAATTAGTACACAATGTCTGTAAATGAGGAAGAAAGTGAACTGCGAAAATTGCGACATTGTGGATAGAAGTATTTTCAGGTAAGTGACGATCCATATTTTAACAGTATGCAGATGTCACAAATGCTTGAGATTAATGCTCCGATTGTCTTTTGTTGGCTAATTCCAACAGACATTTATAGTGATTCAGAAAACATATCAAACTCAAATGGGGAGTAATGAGTCTATTTATGCATCTGTCCGAAATTCTACGTTAAAAGCTTGAACATCCTATACACAAGACAAGAAGTGGGTTAGGAATAAGAATATATTCATGTAAAGATCCGAAACAGTTTTATGTTGTGGAGAGAAATAGAAATCTTTCACGTTGCAGATTTACATCGGCCAAACGAGGACGATCAGAATTGAAATACCTTAAACATCCGACCACTCTCGGAATCCATCACCTTCCTAAAAAAAATATGTGTCATATAACCTATTATCACATGTATTGCCATCAATCTGCACCAAGATGGTACTTAAAAGGAGAGAATGCTCGAGGGGAGTAGAATGATGCACAACACGAACTCTCTCCGACGGTACTATTTACTTCAATGGCCATATAAACTTTCACTCTGACGTTATATAGATTTCCGTAACTCCAGAATTCAAAACAAAGTACATCAAAATTACTGTTCAAGTTGGGCACAAGTGTTGTTTGGCACGATAGGGCAATTCCTCCCCCACTTTGTATCGGAACATGGGTGAGGATGGCCTGCAGAGCTCAACAATAATTTTGCGTTGCAACGAAATAACAACAATCGTCTCAGAAATTGAATGATTTGGATTGAAGGTTTAGATTATTAATAAAACGTTAAATATTGTTAATAATTCATTGCATTGTCTCCAATCTCATTCGAAAAGTTATTATAGTGAATTTGGAAGAAAAAATTATATATTTTGACAAACGTTTTGATACAATAATCTGGAAAGATCTTGGTCACATTTTCACTCCAAGCTATAGTAGTAGTTTGCAATTTGTCACATTCATATTTTTTTATGATATATTCGTGTTTTGAGTAGATCAAATTATTTTGATTCTATACACGGATAATCACATATAAGAATGACATTTCATTCCATAATATTCATGTTTATATATATATAATCTAATACTATGTTTCACTCAATTTACACTTGCATATAATCAATACACCTACGAAAAACCACATTCCAAGAAAAAAACTTGTTGACATCTTTTACTCTTATAAAGAATAACCTAAATATTTCACATGTCTTTTAACATATTTCCTACCATTAAGCTAATTTGGCCTGCACCATTAGTCATCCGAGTTATAACGACTAATATACTGAAGGAAGAGAGAAAACAACACGTAGTTGTCCACGTGCGTGACCAAGTACTTGACCCAACCGTCTTATGAACATTAAAATTATCTACTCTCTACTGAACTTGTTCACGCGCGCCTTTCCGACATTTTCACATGTCAAAGAATTCGGATGTATAAACAAACGAAGGATAAACGCGAGGTCCTTCTTTGACTAACTAATCTTTATGTCAAATTCTCAGGACCATGTCATAGTTCCTCCTGGCAGGTGAGGCCTGCAAATTCTAGCATTTGAAATAGAATCTCTATCGAGAATCCACGAAAGTCAATCTGCAACTAATAATAAGCTTTCATGGACCATGGTCTGGCTTATTTCCGCGAGTTACTGCACAAGGTTGCGCTTACTGACTTTAAATTGAGGGCCCACGAGCCACCCCTGTCGCTGTGTTTGATGGGCCTTTGCACAAAGTGGCCACTGGGGCAAAATCTTTTTGCCCAGCACGTACTTTACATACAGTTTGTTAAACACACAACGCACCAACCCTTCGTCGCTGTGTTCGCTGAGCCTCTGCGCAAAGTGGCCACTGCGGCAAATCCTTTTTGCCCCGCACGTTCTTTACATTCTGTTTGTGTTACAAACAACGCGCGGAGGCATTGAGAGCTAGAAGTGTGATCATTTTCATGTCCTGATATGTGCAACATTGAAATCTAAGCGAAAACGATAGCTCGAGAGAGATATCTGAATGAGTACGTGATACGTACCATACAAAAGTTACCGGATATACCCATTAAAAGCACGTGCATCCGAAGGTGGTCATGTAACCGGTTCCGTTACTTCTTCCGCCCCTCGAGAAACCTCTAAATACTGCTTAGCATGTCTGTTCGGTGGCGCTTCCCTCATGGTGTTCGGGCCACACAAACTAAGTAAAACCTACAGTGGTGTCAACAGGAGAAGTTATCAGTTTAATGCTTTGGCAGACCCGGCTGAACTCCATGTAGAGATGTGCCTGATGCAACACCGTCTGGTTCTAGCTTCAGTAGTATGCACACTTCATCCAGTCTGAATGTTGTATTGGCTTTCGATTCAAATATATAGTATTCGCCGCATATTCCAAACATAACATGTTCCAAGTAGTATATTACATGTTCAAGAACATAGTTAAATTGCTTTTTCCAACGGACACAACAAACTAACCGGCAGGAAGATAAGTCCATGGAGAGCTCCCAAAATCACCAGCGCTAAGTACATTCGGAAGTAATAAACCTGCATTCATAAGACAATAAATTAGGCAAGAGAAGGAAACTTTGCGAGCAAACTTTCCACAAGCTCTTGTTTGGGATGTTCACAGCTCCCAAATTCCTAGCTCAATCACTAGGAGGCACAAAAAGGAGGCAGTTTCAAACTTGTCATCGATAAAGGTTACAAATGAGAGAAAACAATAACGGAATTACGATACATCCTAAACTCTCTCTAGATCAGTAGAGAGTACATAATCAAGCGCACGTTTATGTAATCTTACAAACCTCAAAAATTTCAGACTTGGCGAAGTAGAGAACTAAAACACCGGCAAACTTTGTGAGAGTAATTCCGCTGCAACGACAAATATCATATTAGTTCGTCAGATGGACCTTGAAAACCCCGTGAAGATTCCATTGGGTCAAGATCCAATTTTAACGATGGCGATGAAGTAACGTGAGATGAAAGGTCAATGTCAAAGCACCTTCCATGTGATGCTGCCAATTTCATTTTGGAACAAATAGCAGGACGTGAGACAATACATGAGGTTGGGGTTGTATTTAAACCAGCGCGGATATTAGCGCCAACAAAGCTCTGACAATCAAAGCTGAATACGAGGGACATTGTATATACCTAAATACAGACGCTCCCATCGTTGATAAAGATTTTGATGCCCTCTCACTTCGAGTTCCAGAGCTTACCTGAAAAATCGGACAACACATGAGATTCTAGCGCACGATTGTTGTAAAATCAATGAAAGGTAACGTAATAGAATGTGAAACCGAGAACCCCTATTGGCGAATAACGCCAGAGCAGGATTGGCGAGCAGTATTGGTACCAATCTACAATAAGTTAAAACTTTCCCTTCATTCTTCTGTTCCTTCAAGATAATCTCGAAAGACAGAACTTTTAGAGAGATGATGGGAGAAAATCTCATTCAAATGAAAAGTAAGACCTATGCGGAAAGTCTACGACGGCTTTCCGCGTAGCGAACACAATGGAACCGAAAGCCATGATCAACTTTCCGTCCCATTTTGACGTGATACAACGAAAAGTCGTCATCGACTTGATTAGTCGATCGTCGATTCCTACTCATGGTGAGAATAAATGGTTGAGGCATCTTACTGCAAAAGAGTGAGTAATATGTACACAAAACTCCACGGCAATTCCGATGGACATAACAAGGTTCACGACGGAAACAGCATTCAATTGTATATTCCAAAGAGCCATTACACCCTGTAAGATGAACACTTCGTGAGTCAATTGTAAAAACTTTTCCGCAGTTCACAATGAACAATCAATCGAGAGATAATGCACTAACTCTATGGGTAAACTAATGCAAGATAATGCTGGTTGAGATCATCCGAAAAGGTAGTCGGCTTTAATGCAACAAACCAGCATAGAAAAAGGTGAAACTCAAGATTGGGGTCAGTTGAAGTGCTAACCATCAGATCGATGACAATCATGGCGATTGTTAGGATCACAATGCAAGATGTCCAAACACTGCACAAACGTAACAAGCTTTTTAATATATATCAACAAAACTGACACACAAAGGTAACCAGAGGAGGAAGTAATGCAAATCCATAATCTCCGTTGTTACTGATCCTCAAAATAGAGCAGAAATAATAAAGCCTTAATGACTGAATATGGTTGGCATGGTCGCGTCAAGTAAAAAATACTGACCTGGTTGTGATAAAAACATTGACGAAGAAGACGGCAGCTGCAAATTTCCAAAAAAGGGATACAACTTATAATATTAGAAGCTGAATCCCCCTTCCTCTTCTCGAACAGAAAACGAAGACAACAGATAGTTTTCAGAAAACTGAATCTCCTGTTAAGTAATATGGTCAGGTTAAAGGGAATGATAATTGAAAAGAACTGGGATCCAAAAGGTGTTCTTCCAATGAGCCAGAGATTCTAGGGGCTTACCCAATGCAAGGAGGAGACTAATCCCAGTCGTCTTCCATATGTCAAGATACTGCTCAAAGAACATATAGAATACCGAATAGGGAAAAATTTCAATCTGCCAATCATCGTTGAGATCACTGAATCAGTACACTGAAAAGGGAAATTTACAAAGTTAAACGTTCGATGTTACAGAAGGTCATGTTCTGGGCACTAATAAAACTAACAATTAATTGTATAAAGTTACGAGAAACGCGTATTTGACGTTTCTATATCCTGCAATACGGTATAAGAGCCAGGGAAGCTGCAAAGGGACGGAATTGTAATCCCCAATTTCTGTAAGAAAATGCTCGTGCTTTACACAAGAAAAGAAGAAGCTAGATAAACAATAAGTAGCACAAGAAACGACTGGAATTAATAAGGCAAAACTATCTGTAGCATCAAGCTGTATCTTACTACAGTCAAGACTTACAACCAAATTAGTATTAGCGGCCAGACAACTTGGTACAATACGTTACGTTCGAACTTGACCACCTGGCCATAATCTAAGAGTCTATAGTGAAGAAAATAGGTACAAACTCACCCCCAGACTTTTCGACATTCGGTTCGTAAAATCTTTGGCAGCACGAAGAGCATCCACGTAATCGGTCTGCAAGTAATTTAAGGTAACATCAGATACCTTGCTATATAGAAGGAAACGTTCAGGACGTTTTAAGAGAAAATAATACGACAGAACAGAAATGATCGAATATCTCATTTGATGTGTAAAAATTAAAGATACAAAAAATTCTTATCCGACCTTACACATCTTGTCCTAAAACTTAGGTGCAAAACAAGATGCATGCATAAAGCTCAGAGATGCCTGGATCTATTTTTCACCTCAAGCCTAAATTGCTCCTATTTATGGATGAATTGCTGATGAAAAACAAACACACCTGCTTATTTAGAGGGGTGTGGTAAGAACGAAATTCTGAAGCCTTGATTACACCATCTTCATATCCTGCAGGCCATTGAGATTAGATTCAATCGCATATAGAGGCTCCGTATTTTAAGTACAATAAAACGTGATGAACCGCAAGGGCTTAACACGCTAGGAAACCGAGGAGCACAGACCCGGGAGATCCAGCAATAGGGACTCTAACTAACGCATAATCCAGGTTTAATTGAACAGACTTAATACGTACGAGATTAAACGTGCACAAAAAGTGATGTTTTGGTTACTTCATCAGAAAGTTGAATTCCTACAGGCAGTACTAAAATCGTGAATCGAAACTGGGATGAAAAATTATAGCAGATCAGCAAACTCACCATTGAGATCCAGGCTTGTTGAGTAAGCTCCATGACCACCCTTCGCACAGTCTGCTGAAGGGAGAGCTTCAAGGAACCAAGGTAGCTTTTCTCTGAACTGTTCTGTTGTGGGTCGTCCCTCCAACAAATCGGCACGCAAGAAACACTGCACAGACAAGCAGATTGAAAGTCCCCCATTTAGATTCTGAACTCCTCAAAGGACCTCGTCTGATTCTAATTCGAACTTTGAAGGTCAATTTTCAAGAAACAAAATTTGTTTCACCGCTATTGCTCAGCATGAAGATCTGTACAGAATAGCTAGCTTTTCCTTGCTCACAAGTTGCAAATATCTAGTTGCAAAAAGACAAATACTTCTTAAAAGCACCTAGCTCCGCATTATCAAGTATAACATTCATATGAAAATTAAAGATTTAACACAAATTTGTTGGATGCAACAGTATTTAAATCAATTACCGTTGTACAGTCTTTACAAGTATCACCCTCAGAACAATAATCGTCTCCTTCTGGACAGCAGGGTGGCTGTATTTATTTTCAAAAGAAGCAATGTCAGATAACGAGAGAAAGTGTAAGTAACGCGAGTTGGGCCATAATTGTAGGAGTTAAATTCCACTCCTGGTAGAAGATAAGCTTTCCATATCGCTAGTAGATTGATCTTGATAAGCCTGAAGGTCCTATCCATGACTGCAAAACCTCTGTTATACATGTATGTAGAACAAATGACATGCGTCAATATGGTCTTATACATACCTGATCATCAGGAGGGCAGTATGAAGCATCCGGGAACGTTCGGCAACATCCAAATGCATCGGGAGACATCCATACCAGAAAATCGTCGAGCCAAGAAGCAGCTGGTCTCGCGATAAAGCTCGTGTCTGGTACTAACGCTGCCCTTGACACCTACAAGGTAAAAACAGGTAATAAGTACATCATGAAAAGTAGAATCATACAAAGCCAGGTTTCAACTAACTCCAGTTGGCCGGCTTATATCATCACTAACATCACTTTATTACAATTCAATATTAAACTACGAATGGCATACAATCTTCAAGGCGGTTAGCCATTCTAATATGAAATGTTCAGACTCCTTGGATCATTTTATTTTTATCCAGGAGCACATGGCTTTAGATAAGTGATGCGCCTACCTCATTAAGAAGAGAATTTGGCTCACACTGGCTGATTGAGCACAGGAGATTTGTTTGATTGCTCTCTGTGCTGCAACATTTAATGAAGATTCATCAGAGAAAAATAACTAGCATACCTCCTAGCGTAAGATGATAATAGAGAAGAAGGACCGCGAGGCGCATCTCTAAGAGTGGTCTATCAGTTTCTTCAAACTAAACTCCTAAGCAAAACGACAAATGTATTACAAACTAAATTACTTACAGTAACGATAAAACTGCAAATTTTCATTCGTCTAAGGGAAGATACATATTCTGACAAAAAAGGCATTACACCTAGGTGGTTCGCAAAAGTAGTTGTCACCTGTAATTATAGTCGCGTACTACAAAATAAACTGGAGGTCCGACCCGAAGATGCTCCGTTATGTTACCAAAGTAACCCTGGACAAAAATATCGTTTGACTCAAATTCATTTCTTGGTAGATTAAAAGCCTAAAACCGTCCGTTAAAAATGGCTTAAACTATAAGGACGGCAGACACTTTTTTCAGCAGAAAAACTACTGTGATGTAGGTGCAAGCAAGTGCAAGGAAAAGTACAACATCATGCAAAGAACCTTAATGGCATCAAATCCGGAAAACTTCGGCATACGTTACAGAGGTACCATATCTTCATTTAACTACTGAAGAAGGAGAAACCTGAAGATAGGAGTCACGCGGAAGTGCAACTCTTTGATCTAAGCCAGGTACAAGGTTCGGAACAAGCACCTGGAAACAAAGTCGAACAAGGATTACATCTTTGCAGGAGAGACCGAAAACCGTACCTTTGTCTAAGAATGTGTAGCAAGAAATATCAACCCTGAACATGTGGGTTTAAGGTTATAACACAAACTGAACGCCAGTTAGACTGCGTTGCTAAGCTCTTTAACACATGCACAAATATCTCTCAACCATTTTCTGGAAAAATTATTTCAAAGTTTTGAGAAGTCAAAGCTATAAATGCGTTCGTTCGTTCTCTCAACCTCAACGTTGGGGCACAAGGTTAGGGCTTAGTTCTTACAATGCTCGCAAGAAAGAGGCCTGTAAACAGGGCCACCACTAAAGCTTTAACTGCAGGAAGATTGAGCACCGGAGCGTGGACATCCTACAGGAAAATATACCAGGGTTAGCAAGTGATCCACAGGTAGACTATAGTACTTATAAACGCTATCATATTCATCCCCTTCTAGCTGCTAAAAGATCGTCAGAGTCATGAAGTGCAAAGAGCTCTTAGAAGGTTTTGTAGATCTTGTAATCTACTAGCTTCAGACTGCGACTCCTCTCCGTAGAATGCAGCCAACAGAACTTGCTAATCTATACTAACAAGAAAGGCGACGACGCAATTAAGCTACACATGTGAACAGTCATTACATGTTGCCTAAAAGACGCACAATGCTACTGATAACCTGAAAACGTTATGCACATGAAGTAAAACACACCTTCATGTATTTCACCAGGACGCCGGGCTCGTGTGCTTGTACATCTGCAAAAATTGCAGCGCCAATGGTTACGCTCAACAACCCAGCAAATATTACCCTAAGTTCAAGTTTTAAAAACCAAAGTATCACAAACTTTACGAAGAAAGATCTATCATGATTTTCACATGAACGCCGTCATACAACAGGAAAATATTGCAGCCCCAAGAAATACAATGCAGAAGTCCATGGACAGATACTTGGTCGGTCAGCCAATATGAACAAGTATAAGATTCCGATCGGACTCAGAAATTGCATCCTTTGGTTCGCACTTTCAGACAAGTATCTCTTCTCATGTAGGCCTCTCGGCATACCCGGACAGAACCTTTGAAGGAGCCTAAAGCCCCAACGGAGGAAGAGTTGTTTCGGAGGAGCTTTGAATTGTCAGAGAACACTAAACTAGTAGATATGGTACAAAAACAGATACAGTGAGTAACTGGAAGGGAAATCGTTCAGTGTACCATTTGATTCTGCTGTTACAGCGATGCAAGGGAAGCAGTCAACGCGTCCACTTTCAGCTCTCTTGAGATCATAAGTCAGAAGAGCAACGAACGCCGTAACTTGTAGTAGATAATCAAGCAGCACAGCGACAGCTGAGAAAAAAGAGAGTCAATTCTATTACGTGGAACATGGAAACAAGCTAATTGCATGACGCTTCGATGCAAGAAGACGCACGTACTGACAAGTTCAACCAATCTTACACCCAACGTCATTTCACGTCCATCGGAGATAGTTATAATTATGATTCCTTATGGTTCTATATACTTCAAATATTGTGTTAGAGTACAAATTTGCTCAAAGAACAATTATTATTGAGATATATTAGACTTTTAGATCGCTGCTATCTACAAATATTCAAAGTGTACCAAAACTCCTGCAACTTAGCAATCAAGTAACATACCTGCAAACATGGAGAACACTCTACATGCAGGCATGGGTGTGAATATGCCAACTGTAAATGCCAACACCTCTGAAAGACTGGCGAGCGTAATCGACGGACCAACTTCAGCAAGCGCTCTTCCGACACGTGTTTCGACCGACTCATCTTTATTGGCTTGACGTTTGACAGCATGCACTAAAATACACATGTTATCAACTCCTACCTGCACCAATAAAGAAACGCAAAACTTCAATGTTTCCTTCTGCTTTTGGCACCTAGGTAATTTCTTGATAAGTTTGTCTTTTCTAACTGCCAAATGATGTAAGAAAATCAAGAAATCTTGTACCCTAACTGCATAAGGGGATAAATTGGGGCAATTTTAGGGTTATCAATGGCCATAACACGCATACAGATTTCTTAAAAAGAATAACAACTAACAAGCTTGGAGAATAAAAGCAATCACAATTGCTCATGTAGGAAAAAAGGCCTCCACTGAGGTCATCTCAAATGAAAACAGTTAGTTCTCAAAAGAAGAAAAGAGAACATACCGCAAGGACGAGAAACGGTATCACCTCAACAATTATCAATGTTGATTTGACGTGGAAATAACTGAAGAGCCCGATAGAACCAAGCACACACAGAGCAACAATACCAACACCTGCCAAGCCTAGCATTGTCTGCACATGTTTAAGATGGAGTAGGCAAGTTAGAAGGAGTGCATATGCACAAGAAACAACCGATGAACAAAGACAGAAAACAAAATTTCGATGTTACAGCATTGCATAGCTTGAATGCAAGGAGGATCTAGAGCAGCTTAGGCCATCCTTCATCCTACGGGGATTTTTTTTCTTTATTGCTGTTACTAACAAAGAGTAACAATCTGAAACAAATGGCTGGGATACTTGAAGCACATATAATTCGGAGTAGATAGTTTTCAGTGAGGTGAAGACTGCAAGGGCCTATATACTTAATCTTGAAATCAAGCAGCTAGTTGACAGTGTGTTTGGTCAGGGTTGTTTCACGATAGTTATGCGCGCGTTCTCCTCAAAATGTGAAAATTAAATTTATGTATATGTAAAACTTGAACTAGAGTAAAGAAATACAAAGATAAGGTTGGTCAAAAGTTTGAATTCACTTACTTTGGACGTCACATACCATGGAGACACCCAATCTCCAAGAATGAAGGAGATGTACACAAACATAACTAAATAGCTCACCTGTGTGACAGCAAAGTTGTAAGCTTTCTCGTAAAGTACAACTCATCGTATAAAAGAAAGGTGGCTTGTGGCGAACTGCGAAGGAAAACTTATCAAGTCTAAATTCAAGAACAAATCATTAAAGTGCTCATCATGTCATGGATTTATACCGCTATTGTTCCAACATCAGCGGTGCTCTCCCGCTCAAGCTCGGCTTTTATAGAATTCTCTGAGGAGTAGGCCAGAGTTAGACCCTCTCCTTCTACCATGGCTGTGAGCTCCTCCTGATGACAATTGACCACAAATACTGGCTGAGAGGTGAAAATCATTCAAGGTAGTGTAGTCCTGCCGCTTAAATTAGGTGAGATATCGGATATCAGCCTTTTCTAACTCTGATATATTACGTTATGTTCTACAATACAGTTATTTACGAGCGTCTGACTAAAATTTGTACAGCGGTAACCTGGAGTACTCCATAATCAGAGCTAGTGGCTGTGTCTACACAGGGAAATTAAGTACAGTTCTGCTTCTATTCTGTCTAGCTGCTCTAGTTGACTGCAAATCGATGGTGAACAAACATGGAACAATGTTTCCAAATTTACTCCTCCGAGAATAAAATTTCGACTAAAATACAACAACAATTTTATGATGGATACGTACCTTAGCCAATCGTATAAATGCCTCCTCCCATGCCACAGCCTTCTCGTTTTCATCACCAGATTCTCCGACGAAGTTTTCAACCGGGTACGTGATAACAAAAGCAGTAGCCTAATGTGCCCCGCAATAAACTCTCAAATCAGAATGCTCATCTTGGTGCGTCATGGACACCTCTCTAGAAAAAACCACTTTCTACTAGGCTATCTCCTAGCGAACAAGCAGTTGAAGCGTTTCTAATGACAAACATAATCCGGATCTATACGTTGTGAATTTTTCAATCCTCCTACGTCCAACACAATTTCTTGTACGCGGTTATAACATTGACAAAATCTAGGACAATATTTCCAGCAAGAATAGTCACCTCAGTGTAGTTGGTTCCAGAGAAACCACCGAGAACAGTGCCCGGCTCCACTGGCCCCTCAAAAGCACTCAAGCATTGGGCTGCTGATGAGGCATGCTATGGTCACAGAAATATACAGTCTTCACGTCAGTATGAACCCTAACTGGCAAAGCGTGTTGTAAATGATAGTATCCTAGCTAATTAACTTGGATGCTAACGCTGTTTCTTACTTTCCTCAAAGACAAAAACAGCCAAATTGATTAACTTAGGTGCTTATCTGTTTCTCACTTTCCTTGAGATGATAACAAGCATGGATACTGCATATCTGCCTTTAAAGTTCTGAGAGGCTTCTCAATGATACAAAGAAAACCCTTAACCTCAGGTAAACAAAGCAAACATGTACATGTCATAACTTTGACCGTAGTAATACTTATGCCTGAAGGGCAACACAAGTGCTTCATTGATATCTTCGACTGGGACTCCGGGAATAGTTATTTACCTCAAAACAAAACTCAGCATGTGCGGATCCTTGGTAATCATAAAATTTACTGCTGTCCATTTTAAAGTACTGCAAACGATATACGGGGACCGTGCTCAAACTCATAAGAAACAGAAAAGTTGCCCATCCAACTCCAAGCAAAGGGAGCTTTTAATTTCAATCGCTCTAAAAGTAAAAGAATGATGCACAAGAGTGGTGCACAAGTTGAAGGTTACCATTATTACAAACATGTAAGCATCTTCTCTTCTAGTCCGAATTGACAAAAAGAGAATTCCTACAATCTGATTCCTCTCTGATAAAATACTCATCCACACAGCACACAAAATGAAGGCAAGAAGCCAACCTGTAAGACACTTTGAGTGGCGCATGCCGATCCAGTTGGTTTCGTGCAAATATCTTGGAGTGAAACTGAGGAGTTGGATACATTAACACGTAGTGCATCAACCTGTTGCAAGTGTGAAGTGGGGAATTTATGAGACGAAGTAAACATGTCGACATTGACAAAATTGTGAGTAAAATGACTGCTCGGATGGGTGGAAGACCACAAACTTGGCAAGGAGTTGAAATATGAGGACTTAGTCTGCTCCGAACAGATATTGTGACCTGTAGAGCTGAACTTCCACAAAATAATCACATAGTATACCTTTGCTTGAATCTCGAACAAAAGAAGAAGATTCTGGTTTGTGACGATGTAAGGAGCTGACTCGTTTGCAGAAGGAATTGTCGCTAAAATCAGCTGCACAAAAGAAGATATTTTAAGTTTAGTTGAACTGTACTTTTTTGTATTTCACTCATGTAGCCTGGACAACAAAGAGCGCCTGCCGAAGAGACGTGGGAAAAAGTTTTAAAGGCGGAAATTCAGAAATGACAACTTATTACTTAACGTCGCACCCATAGTAAGAAAAGCAAAGTAGTACAAGACACGAATCCCAAAATAATATATCCTTCCGTTGACCTGTTCGATTCGGTAAAAAGGTGCCAAATGTGAGTCAAAGTAGGCCTTTTCTTCAGCTGCCTCGCTTCCGGGGCTCACCCAAAGCTGTACATAGCCAAGTCATTTTTGTTAATTAGCATGGCTATAAACGTAGAAATACGACTTACAAATACTGTAGTACTCAGAAAAACCTTGAAGCACTTCATGTTACATCACATGTTCTGGTATAGTAACAGTACATGACATTGTTGTGGACAAACCCCCATATAAATCCTCACCAGCAAATAGTATGACTCTACGCAGTGTATCAAATGTAAACTAACATCGAAAAGTTGTACTATTACACGGCCATCTGAAGCCTCCATTCAAAAAACTGTTATTTCAATCAAAATACTTAAGGTCTTGACATGTAAGATATGAACCAGCTTTTCTTCACAGCAAGTTCTACCCACTTAAGCACGGTTCGGTTGGATGTATACTGCGATCATACTTTCACGATTAACCTACTTGACATGGCAAATTCAAAGAGTACAAGCTGATCTTCTGAACTTCGGCCTTTGAACCTAGTAAGGAGTAGCGTAAAAAGGACATTGAAGTTTTTAGTGCACCAAACAGCACACCTTCTCGGGGCGGGTCTCCACTTGCAGCTGCAATAAACCTATGCAAAGTAGAATCATGAAGACAATTGCAATGAACAGGACAATTCCAGGATGGCGAGCAGTCCAAGTTCCTTGTGCCCTGTAACCACATTACGATATGACATTATTGGGCGGAAGCCAATTCTTTGTTCGGCCTAAGAGGTCAGTCTCTGCTATCTGCCATGATGTAAAATTCACTCACAGCATCAGATTTGGAGATTACATGATGCAGATGTTAAAAATTCCTTATCAAAAACGGCAACAGCTTCTGGGGTTTCACATGAAATGTGAAATAAAGAATAGCAATAATCACACTCCCATCTTATGTTCACCTTCTCATGAGATTTATCGAGGCACAGGATCACACTGGATAAGACCTCTTTCATTGTTCGACATGTTATCATGCAAAGGTTGTGATTCATCCCAAAGGATGACAACATCCTATTATTGCACCTTCCACTGGGGTTGTTGAAGCAAGTATGTACAGAAGTAAAAGAAGAAGCATGTATGACTACTGTCTGGTATCGACACTTTCTAAGTACCTGAACCATCGAGACAAGGACGACTCAATGAACGTAGGATCTTGAATTTTCTCTGGCTTCCCGGCCTCCTGCACATCAGGAATTGACGGAATTCAGAGCCTGTCTATATCAACCAAATACTTAAAGACAAATAAACAAGTCTGTCACGGTTCCGTAAAAGTTTGGCAATCTCTCTATACTTGCTAGAGGCGCCAAACCAGCTTACTCATAAAAGTCTTGTTTGTGACCCCACTCAAAATCCTGACTTTTAGGCTTCAAAGGAGCGATTATCTTACTTCGATTTCTGGTCCCTGACCAGGAACAGGAGGTGAAACATTGGTAGATACTAAGAGGGGTTCATTGATATCTGATTGCCCAGTTGTGTTACTGTGCTCCTTCCTGGACTGTATCCACCATGCAACAATGCCGAGAAGAATAACGACGTACAGTATCCCCATACCTAGGTTTAGACATCCAATCTGCACAAGAAACAAGTCATGTCCTGATTGTCGGAACCGGAAGAGACTTGAATACAGTTCACTACGTACGCACATCGAACTCAAATACTAGAAATACCAAATGACCAATAGCGACACCATATCCAGATTGAACAAATGTAACATAGAATAACAGGCTGCATGTTGGAACTCATGCTGTAAACGCTTAATAGATGAAGAAGTGTAAACGTCGAATGCAAACCTGCAGCGATCCTAAAGTCACGTGACATCCCTCGTCTTTGTTGTCACTAGGCGGCAGTGGCTCAGCGCAGCTGGTGGCCGAAGGGCAATCACCACACGAACACGATAGTGAGGAATCCCAACAAGGAGTAACAGAAGTATTCAAAGGTCGTATGTCTCCCACGGCATTGGTCTTATAATTAATCTGGTAGGGCGAACCGGCTTCGTAAGATCCTGCCCTGTGGCCCATGAATGACAGCCAATCTGCACAACCATTTCTCAACCTTCCTCTTCTTTAGAAAACCATCAATCACAACAAAAAACGACAAAACTTTCTTTCTGTTTCCGCCCCCAACAAGAGCGCGTGGTCTATGGCTCTTCCAGCTTTGTAAAGAACACAATGGTGAGAACAAATTCTGCGCCGACTTACAACAGACAATAAAGAATATTTCTCTAGACTATATTAGATGCAAGCCCATTGAGTACAAGCTAAGGTCTACGTTATTACCTGTATAATTCTTGGCACCTGCTCCTATGAAGTCCATTGCTCGAGTGTTCATAGCTGCAAATTTTACGTCTTTGCAAGAATCGAACAGCTGAGTTCCATATTCCTCTGTAATATAGAAATCAATACCATCCACCAATTCTCGTCCATGCTCCTGCAAACGAAGTGTTATGGACGAGAGAGACGTCAGGTTTGATAGAATAGCAACATGTCTCTGCAACATGCTTGAGAGAAGAGAAGCAAAGATAAAGAAGAAATATAATAATCTTCTTCTACATGATGATTTCTTCATACTTCCTCAAAAGCCAAGTGTAAATACACTTTCAACTTAAGATATCTTACAATTCTTGGATGTTGAGCTCAAAACTAATATGAGAGGAAATGTTGTAGAATAAGAAATAATAAATATACCCTCGAGGTTGAGATGACGTCAACGAATAAGCTCTGATCAGGTGAACATGAAAGTTCGCAGTAGAGATCCAGAAAGTTGCGGAGACATGCAGGACAACCTACTAGAAATGGTACGGCCTGCACAGGTCCAAATGATGTCAGCAACTAAGACTCAAACGTTGGGCAAGAAGAGGAGTGATAACAGTTGTAGCCAACCTCTTTGGCGGCCTGTAATGATATACCCATTTCAGATGCACAAAAGAATATGATGTTGAGGAAATCGTGCAGAACCTGCTGAACACTTTGCCGGAGAAGGTCAAATTGATCTTCACTACAGCATACGTTCCCAGTTATAGTGGGACATAGACTTTGTATCTTATGTGAGAAAGTCTCAGTTGGCTGTCACACACAAGCATAATTGCACATGTCCCGGCAAATCAGAATTGAGCTAATGCAGAACAAAGTCTTTCTGTACATATAATTATAAATACAATCACAAGTTTGTTGCCAAATATAACAAGATTGAACAGACAAGCAAGAGCTTCCTGGGAGCCGATTGAATCTTACAGTGACTGCTTCCACAACTTTTGGACAGTTCAGAGGTTTTCCATCCTTTCGTGCGCCGCACAAATCATACATAGAGCACCAGCCTTCTTGGTGGAGTTGATCCCTGCAAGAGCCAGAATATATAGGTTGGACGTCGCAAAATGCAGAAACAGTCACTCCTATCCTACGTTTCCATCATGATACTATTTCCTTTCATTAAGAAGAGGAGAAATGCAGGAACCACCGAATCAGCTTTACCATTTGAAGACCAGACAAAACGAAATTTGCAACTATAAATGTAAAGTATGACCAAAGAAAAAGAGACAAATGGAGCCTTTATATTACCAATAACGATCCTTCACAAACTTAATTTCTTCTGCACTTGCATGTTCAATATTTTCAAGCTGCGCATCGCGAGAGGTCAGCCATACCTTACTGCTGTCGAAAGTCCTGAAACAGGTTCTGAGGTAAATGTGTAAGGAGCCGCACACTCTGAAATGCTTACCTGCCAAAGGCATGACGTAACGGATTAACAACTGATGATACATATAATTATAAAATGTTCAAGAAGAATCATACTAGCTAGTAACATCATACTAAAACCATTCCGTTGAGACCAACTACAATACATTCTACAGATAAAACATAGATGGGTCTGCGAGAATCGTCTCCAAAGTTCTTAGTCAAATAAACCCATTCTTTAAGACTTAACGATGCTCATACAGGACTAATTACAGACGTAAACTTTTATGAAAATTGTGAAGAAAAATTGATTGGTTACCAGATCATAGAAGTTGAACCCTGCTTATAATTCTACACAAACGTTCTGATACTGGCAAAGCATTCTACATTATTGTTCAGAAGGCCTCAATTTTCGGAGTGCAACCCTTGATTTGCACAGTGTGATACTTTGTTCCTTAAATTTTAAACAAATCAAGAGCGAGCTCAGAAATCATCTCCTGTGTAGTAATAACTAGGAACTCTACAGTCTAAATCCAAGAGTAGCGAACTCACAGACATCGGCTATCAAAGAAGGATAGGATGTGAAGCAGAATTCAAGATACTGTAGGTCAAAAACTTGGCCAAAATACTGGAATGTAATTCAATGAGGCCAATGGTTGAAAAATGTCAAAACCATCGATTCCAGCTTCTTACACTGCAGATAATGTGTGACACACTAGGATGATCGAATTTTCAGTTCTTGAGAACCTAATCGGTAGATTTCTGGACAATTTCTGCCAGTATGATTCGTGGCTTTCATAGCCAAAACATGATGGCGTCATCATTTAATTTGTCCAACGTAAAGTAAATGGACAATTTTCAGCTCACCGAAAAAAAATCAGTTTCTCAGAAGGCTACGCGCACAAAAAACTGCGTGCAGTTTTGTACAGATACTAAATCAACCTTGAGCAAATGTATATTATTCGGGTGAGGTTAATCTCACAGCTATCATCTTGTGTGAGTTGCAAATTGCGTCAGTCCTTTCTACAGATACAGGATAATGTCTAAGGAAGTAATTCAATGTGCATCAGGTCTAAAAATTAAAAATCCTAAGGAAGATCCATGTTTCCAAATTTCTTCGACAAGCCCTTGCGGCTGCATGCCACGACTTGAAACGGGAGTAAATCGTAAGATCGAATTTTAATCAGAATCCATTACCTTCAACAGGAAGAGACTCAAAAAAAACGCGCTCATAAGCCACCTCTCCATTTTGTTACGACAATGATTTCCTTTCAACTTCATTTCTTCCGATGTCCAGAGGCGAAGCCAGCACCACGACTGAGAATTCTATCGAAAAGATCACAGGAGTGTTATTAATATCGACACCTCCACGAATCAGCCCTTTGCCAGTTCCAATGCTCAACGCCCACTACCTCCTGCGTCATGAGATCCAGTATCGAAGCAGTCTAATTCCGGCAAACTCTCGTTCATGGAAGAATATTGTTGTCATTCATGACCAGGCAGAGAGGGCTGCAGGGGCTCATTGATGTTTAAAAGCAAGGAGTTAACTTGGACTTCTGTAATCAAGCCACGTGCATTGTTTTAACTCATCGCATCAAGAAACATAGCAAACGTGGCCTCTGCTGGCATCCCGCGTAAGGGCTCCTGGTGCCAGCTAACGCAGGTCTGTTTCAGGGTGTGAATAATGTCGCAGACTGTGATGAGTGCACATATCCCCACTGCACATGCAAGCGGCACAAGTGCTTCGGCCCCAAGTGTTCGACTTCGGTCCCCTCATATTTTCCTTTTTTCGCTTGGCAGAGGGGCTCTCACCTTGCGTTTCAAAATCGCAAAGGCAGCCCTCCCGGCAGGCCTTTCTTCTTCTTCACGTTCTGCTGATTCTAACAGGTCCGTCCGTACTTCTCCCTCTCCCGGCGCTTTCCCACTTTCGTCGGCTTGGCCCAGGGCCTTGCCTTGCTCTCTCTCCCTCTCTTCCGCTGTCCTGGATGGCTCCCTCCGCCTAAGCCTACGCGCTCCTTGATGCTTCGCGATGTGCAAGTATCGTGTGGAATTTTCCTCCTCTGTCCTCGGCTCCCTCACCCCCTTCCAGTTCCTGTGCGTTTCAGCATGCGGAGTATGTAAATTGTAAATTGTTCTTATACCATGGGTATTTTCATAACTTACCCATAAACTTCAAATATTATATAAGTAACGGGAGCAACATTTACATTCTCATCAAAATGCACGCGTATTGTCTGGGTTATATATGGCACTTCTGGCCAATCTCCACATTAGGTAAAGACAAACTTTTCCAATTTGGATTCTATTAAATAAAAGGTTCAAAAGATTTGTGTGCACCTGTTCAAGTTTGATATAATCTCACTTTTGGGACCAGGGACTAGATTTTATGGTAAGTAATCCATTCAGTATGTATCAGCCTTGTTTTCAGTATGTTTATTGGATCCCCTACCATAACCATTGCTTTTATGTGTGTCCTAATTGCGTTAACTCTCTCGACATCATTGGTAGTTTGAGATTGGTAGGTACGACTTCTTTTGGATATGCTTGTGCAATGCTCCTCTACTCAGTTTGATTTGCACTTCCACTTTTCTTCACCTGTAAGTCATTTAGTATATTCCGCCAGGAAAGTGTTCTCACTTTTGTAACTGTTTGCTAAGTACGTGAATCACTATCACTTCAAAAGTGCCGAGCATTGGTTGTTAGGTGATGTAGTATTGAGGAATACAATTTATCATCAATTAAAATTAGATTTGATCTTTAGATTTGATAGATAGAAAAAGAAAGATTTGATCTTTCCTTCTTGTTGAGGTCAAAAATAAAAAATATGTAAATAAGAATGGTTCTTAGCCCAAATTTGAGACTAAGAGCAGGAGTTCTTCCTTGATGCTAATACAATAAGATCTCCAATTGGCGATATCTAAATCTCTTTATTGCAATCTAGGTGTGACAGTATATAAGAGTTGAAAATCTAAAGATAGATTAGAAATATTCAACTTATTGCGAATTTGAGATACTATTGAATCATGAGAATTCTAGCAAAGAATTCACATAAAAAATGATTAATTTAATGATTTTATAGTCGTCAACAATATCTAGTTAACATTGATGGATATTATTAGAGAATTAATTATAGTAATTTTGGTTTAGAAAGTTGTATTTGATTGTTTGACAACTCAAATTCTTCTTGTTCTTTAAAAATTAATAATTTGTTGTCAGAAAATTACACTATCAGCTTTTGTCTTGGCGTGACCTCTAACCTCGCAACATTTTTACACTCCTTGTTTATGGGTCTAATATAAGGCATCCAAAGTCTAAAACTGATTTTACAATTTAATATGGCTATGGAAAAAATCTGAACGCATTCATACAAAGAAATTGTATTCTACACATTATAGAGTTTACTTAAATGAGTTAATAATTTGTAAATTTGAATAAACTACAGAAAAATTTTTATCTTTAATGAAATTAAATTTAAGGATATATTCTAAGAATTTTTCAAATTTAGTTAAAATAAAAAAAAATCTCAGATAAATGAAAGAGTGATCATAAATATAAATAAAAATAAAGATTTAATAAATTTTTTAAGTTTTCAAATAAAAAAGTAAAGAAATTTCAATATGTCTGCAACAAATATTAACTCTACATATATCATTTTTTGTGATTATATGAAAAAAATATAAGTTACAGCTTTGAAATAAAAAAAACAATGTAGACATCAAATTAACACTCATATCTTTTGATGGAGTTCTAGGATTTATTGAATATGCAGTAATTAATTTCATGATACAACTTGCTATCATTATTGTTGATATTGATAAATACATAAGAATGATTCAAAAATATGAAATGGATGCAAATCAATATTCTATCTTTTTTGAAAGCTATTTCTATCAACAAAGTTAAATAATCTATAAATAATGTATATCACTATGTAATGTAAAAACACTAACATCAAGATGAAAATATATTTTCATTCTTGGTAATCCGACATTCTTTGTGAATTTATCATATTTGAATCTATGTTAAGAGAATAAATCTTTGAACAAGAGCAAGAAATTATAGATTGATGCATGAAATCAAGATTTATTTAATGTATTCTCATGATTTTTCAATAAATAGTATTATGAAGCTATGCCAAACTTTTTTTCTTTTAATGATATAATATTAAGGTAAATTGTGACATTATTTTATTGAAAAATTTTAAGAGATAAAATATGAAAGTCCCAAACATCAATATCGACACGTACGATAGTAACAACACCGAAATAACGTGATTCACCTTACACAAGCTACGTCCACATGCAAGAATAGAATTTTCACTAAAGCACAAGTGCATACACAACCTCCATAGCCAAGCTCTCCTCCTTGTTAATCACTCTCAAAGTGCAACTCTGAATTGTACGTAGTGAATGGCTACTTCTCTATTCTATACAAGAAGAAATAAGGTGCAATTCTTAGCCAAATTAACCACAATTACTTTTTCTAATCATGATTATTACTGATTGAAGTTAATCTAACATAGAGTTAACCTAACAAACTCCCACTTGACTCAAGTCTTGGAGAACTAACTAATTCACTCCAGATATAACTCTCCAAGAATTTCTAAAAAGTAAAGCTAAATCACATTTTTCCTCTATAGTCAAAAATTAACTAGAATGAAGCCATAGTTGGCAAACATCGAATGAAGAATACATGTACAAATGTTACTAGACTAACCTTGCTCATGCAAAATTTGCAACTTTGCACAATGTTTGAAAAAACTTTTCAATGAAATCACTTTGATTAATGCATCGGCAAAGTTGAGCTCACCATCAATTTTGATGAGCTTAATCGCATTATCATACATCTCTTGTCTCATATAATGATATTGGATATCACTATGCTTTATCCTACTATCCATCACATTGTTTGATGCTAGATGAAGTGCACTCTAACTATCATAGTAAAGATTTGCATCATTGTGTGACAGCCCCATCTCAGTGGTCAACTTGTTCAACCAGATTATCTTCTCCAATGTTACAACGTATTCAGTATCTGTGGACGACTGCATTTTTGAAGTGTAGATTTTTAACTTATGCATCCATCAGCAAGAATGAAAACATATTTTAACACTAGTGCTTGGAGAGAAGTTCAATCGAAGATGGAAAAATAAATTTTTAAAGATGTGAGATACCAACAATGGATTTACTCTCCCTTGTATAACTATTATTAACAAGTACAAGAAGATAAGATTTCATCCCCACCATCCAATCCACTACTAGTGGATTGATAACATGGCGAATATATCTAGTGAGCACATGGATTGCTGATGTGTTGCTACCAACTAACACACCAACTAGCACATTCAATCCTTACCTAACAAGCACACGAATTGATGACGTGTCGTTTCCGACTAACACAATAACTAGCACACGGAGAGTTGACGTGAGAATGTAAATATTGCACTATCATCTACTCTATTGAATCTTGAGTAACCTTTACTTTAGTTCTAATAACTGAAGATGGTTACAAACCTTTTATCTTTTAAGATGCAATGTAATCGAAGCACAAAAGTTCAAACTCTTGAATTATCAAAGGTTTATTTGCTAAATTTTTAGCTGGTTTCCAAGGTGATTTTTCATATGATGGAGATAGACATTACATTGAATCAAATACTCTACTTTGGAATATTTATGACCTCGAATATGTTTCTTGAGTATATTTTCTACCTCAAACTTCTCATGATTTGCTATGAAGGTTGAAAGGTGATGTTGGTTGGTTGGTGAATTGTTTTGATCGTAGTACATGTTTTTGTAATCGTGACACATGAAAAAATGGATGTATTTTTGTATGTGACGAAAGTTTCAATTTGTATGACACTTCACCAACACGCTTAAAAATAAAAAATAGACCAATGAACCTAAGGTTCATTTTTGATGTTTCTACAAGAGACAAATTTGTTATAGATAATCAAACACGATCTCCTTCCTCAAAAACCAATTCTTTACGATGAGCATCGGCATGTTGTTTTTGCCAATTTTTAGCTATCATCAACTAATTCTTGATCTGATGTAGTGCTTTGTGAATATGCTCCACAAACTTGTTCACTTTTGCAACTTTGGTTGAAAACTTCTCTACTTTTGAAAGTTGCATCAATCTTGAAAGAGTTCTAGGATGAGCTTCATACATGAAGTAAAATGTCGACACTTTTGTCAATGCATTAACAAGATTGTTATATGCAAATTTGACAAGAGTCAAAAGGATGTAACATTCTTCTTGCTCTTCTAATGTGAATGCTCGTAGCATATTTTTTATAGTTCTATCTGCCTTCTTCATTTGTACATAAGTTTGAGGATGATAGGCTGTTAACATTGCTATTTTTGTATTGAAAAAAGTAAACAAAGTTTTCCAAAATAAACTAGTGAAGTGAGTAACTCTATACGTTATTAACATTTTGCTTAAGCCATGACTCACAGAAAACTACATCTAGAGTCAATTGAGCTAGTTGTGAAACTGATATATGTTTTTCTGGTTGGCATAATGTGCATCATCTTGCTCAATTTATTGACAGAATCCACCATTGAATCATGCTTTAACAAAATCTTTGCTAACTCATATATGATATCCATACTAACATGTTTCCACAGCAATTCGGAAGAGGAAGAGGCTATAATAAATCCGTTGGTTTTTGATTATTTGACTTGTTTTGTTGACAAATAACACAATTTTAAACTTAAGACTCCACGTCCTCACATATTTTGGCCCAATAGTACACATGTTGTATGCTCTCCACAATTTTCTCCACTACCACATGACTTGCAATGAATATGTCATGACTTTTGGCCAAAATCATTGTGCTCAATTCTTGATTTTGTGGAATCCATATGCGTTGTTTGTAGATTGCTAAACCTCAAGACTTCTCCGTCTTTTCAGTGTTGTGATCAAGTGATCTCATTTGTGGCTTGTGTCATCTTCCTCAAACAATCAGCCTAAATTTTCATTTTTGCAACATGATTCAGACAAAACATGTT